GTTCGCCGACAGAGTCTGGAACAAAACGGGAAGCGTGTGGCGCGCTATTTGAACAGCCTTCCATTCTAGAGTCGTTATAGAGTGTAATAAATGGTACGTGACAAACTTTGTGATAATCTTCTCTTGGTTCACCATTGACCACTTGTAATCTGTCGTTGAACTCTTTAGGCATAAACACAGAATTTAATTCTTGGAGGGCAGTGATAAATCTCAATCCATCAGGAATCATCTTCAATCTCCCGCACAAACTAATCTGCAAACGGGAAAGATTGGGCATTGCTCCTTTAACCAACACCCATCTCTCTAAATTGGATAAGCAATGGAGGTTAAGAAACTTGAGTTGTGGAAAGGAAGCTGCAAGGCACTTTATTTCTGCTTTGGTGAATTTTAACTGGGACAAGCTAAGCCTTTTTAACAAGGGAAACTTTCCCAATATTTTCATTAAAGCATCACCGTCGATTCTACCACCCTCGTAAAGTGTGAAGTCGATCAAATTTGCACACATTCCTTGTTGATAGTGTGGCAAACTGATACATGTACAGTTGTTGAGTTTCAAAGTGGTGAGTGAGGGAGACATCAACATCTTCCTTAAATTCATATCATTTTGTCCTCTCTCTGGATTGAAGTCACAATTCGAAATACAAAGATGTGCCTCGCGTAGTTGGGTATTTCCGCAGCTCATGCAGTGGGCAATGATTGAGAGTTCAACATTAGTACCAACTTCAATTTTCAGATTTAGCAAATTTGTTAATTTGGGGATGTCTGCAAAGCGAACACATGAAGGATGTGACTCATCTCGTAAGGTCTCCAACTCCTCCAACCCATCCAGAATCAGTTGGTCTCCGTATTCTCCAACGACTTGTATTCGTTTGAGAAGCAAATGCTTCAGTCTTTTCATCTTACAAATCACATTTGGCACCTTTATTTGCACTGTCATTCTCAAATCCAATGTCTGCAGATATGGCAAGTTGAAAACTGACAATGGTAGCTCTTCCACATGCCTCTTATACAAACTCAAGTATCTCAGATGGATTAGATTACCTACCTTTTTAGATAATATAAATTCACCATTTTCCAGAGCAAGAATCCTGAGACGTTTCAACTTGTAGAAATCGATTGCACTGCCTTTAGAACCAATCACTAGCAATCTACGGCGCCATCCTTTAAAGAGGAATAGAAAAGATCTCAGGTTCATTTCTTCTCTCTTGTTGAAATAGTTATTATCCACGTGTGCAGTCCCATCACAATGAATGGCTAATCTGCTCGCATCATGAATGGGAGCATAGTTTGTTTGATCAATGAGCTTGAGAAAACCTTTTTCCTTTCCCTTTGACAAACAAAGATCACGGATCAGATCATGAAGGCGACATGATTTGAATGTATTATACGCACTGGAACAATATTCATGCTTTCGTACTTGAACCATACTTCGAGATGCTAGTTCATTCAAATAACGTTCAGCCACGTCCCTCAAAGTTTCTTTTCTTCCTTTTTCTTCCGAAGAAATAAGGCCTTCCGCCATCCACAATAAATACAATCTTTCTGTATCTATTTCTTGATCCTCGGGGAAACATCCTAAATAGAGGAAGCACGGCTTCAAATAGTAAGGTAAGGCATCGTAGCTCAAGTCCAATACCTGTTTCACTTTTTCATCCCCACGCTTTAAATATAAATCAACATCTTCGTTGACCCTCTTCCACTCGCTCGATGTTTGTTTTTCGCACAAAATCCCTCCAAGAACTGTAATTGCTAGTGGTAGACCACCGCATTTTTGGACCATTTGTCTTCCAATAGCTTCTAGTGGACTTTGTTCCGTTTCGCGCTCGGCATGGTGATACATTGCGGGTGGGCTTTCTTCAATCCCAAGCTCGGCAGTATGTAAAGAGGTTTCCCCTGAATTTTGTTCAGCTTGAGGCGGCTCTGCATGATGGAAGACCAAGACAACTAGTTATATACGGGATAAATATTTAGTAAATAAAAAGTAGATATGACTATCAAATTATGTTTTCTTTCAATAACATATTTCTATTAAGTACACGAACCCCCGTTTGACAGAAATGATGTTAACTAACTAAAATTTATTCGACTTAAATTTAAGCATGTAGGCTGTAGCTTCTACTAATATCAAAATTGGCTGAAAATATTTTCTAGTGTTTCTAATATAAGGGTTTCCAACAGTAGGATGAAAACAGGGATGTCGATGAATGCAAAAAAATAAGCAATAATGCAAGATATCAAATACAATAAATAGTATTCGAGGTCGGATGGCAGAAACTGACCTCCGGTAAATGCTAGTTTATGAAGTAACTCCCAACCTTCATCTTCAGTGAGAAAACGGAGTTCGTAAAGACAAAATTTTCGAGGAGAAACTTCTCTGTTGCGAGTGGTAAGTATAACTTTACATATATCACTCGCTTTCGGAAAAGCTGGCTCTAAGATGTTCCAGTGAGCAGACTCCCATATATCATCAATCACAATGAGACATCTTTTCTGCATTAGAAAATTATGAAGTTTCACCACCAATTCAGCGAGTTCCAGGTAGTTGATCCATTCATTATCTTCATCAAGAGGAAGTTGCTTCAGAATTTGGCTTAAAACAGTCTTGGGTTGAAACTGTTGTGTACTGCAAACCCAGGCACGAGCTTCGAAACAAGTTATCAGGTCCTTGTGATGGTAAATTTTTCTGGCAAGAGTGGTCTTCCCAAGGCCTCCCATTCCATAAATTGAAATCACGGGAATCTGTTTATTCTTCACCAGTGACACCAGAGACGCTATGTCTTTCTCCATACCAACAAAATGTTGTTCAAAGTCGTGCTCGAAAGCTAGTCTCGAATAATATTGGTGATCGTCCGTTGGATTCGAGGATCTCCAATCGGGGACTATCATTTGCAACCTCCCCGTGAGAATGCTCAGGCTTGATCTAATGGATTCAATCTCCTCCCCAACCTCATGGCTCGTTACGCACTCGCGGAATATGCAGCTGAACCTTTTGAACTTTTTCAACAGGTTTCCACCTCTTCTGGATGTGACTTCAATAGCATATCTTTCGAGCACATACTCAGCTCTTGAAGCCAGTTCATCGAGCTCAGCCATCCAATCACCTAAAATTGCAGCCTTGCATCTATCTCGCCATTTGTCAGCATCCATCAAGATGCAATGGATGGTTTTGAGCTCCCTCTCGACTTTCTTCACCTCATCGCTTACACTATATAGAAATCTGCCTTCTTCAATCAGCAAATCACGAATTGTTTGAAGAGACACTTGAATAGCCATTAACTTTGATTTTGGACAATATACTCTTAAAAAGTTTTGAAGTGTGTGGATGCATATATGATTCTGCTTTGGCTTCTTAGACAAACAACTTATTAATGTTTAGCAATTACTCCCATTTTTTAATACTCAGCGATAGCCTATTTGTGATGCTTTTACCAAGTCAGTATACCTCTGTCAAATATTACCAACTCTCAACAATTGGCATTTCTTTAGTAGTTACTTAATACATACTAAATTACTAATTGATAGATTTCTTTATCGCAAAAAATTGCTGGAAATATTACCAAAAATTGAAAAAGTCCTACTTGTTATAGTCGCCACGTCATCAGTGGATTAATATATTGGCAGGTATTAAAAAACTTCAGTCCATATGAAGGTGAGGTGCACTTGCATGAGGAGTTGTCATTTGATTCACAGGGGAAAAAAAATGCAACATACAAAATTAAACTTTAATTTTAGGGGAAAACACAGTTTGCGCCCCTGAACTATGGTGTCTGTATCAAAAACCTCCCCTGAACTACAAAATGTAACAAAGCGGTCCTTTCATTTTGTAGTCAAACGTTAAATTAGTAACTTCGTTAACTTGAAGGGGCAATTACATTTTTGCCCTTATGAGGTAATATATATTGTTGTTATTATTTTATTATAATTTATTTATTTATTTTCTGAAATCAAATATTCTTCCCCTTTCCCTTGCTTTATATACTGGGGAATACGATGCTACACCCGGTGATTTTTACCGGGTGGCTCTTTTCTTGACATGTGTCCTTTTTTATTTATTTTATAATTATATTTCTAAAACCCATTGGGTCATAACTGAACCCGTAGTGGGAATCTTATTAATTTTGGTGCCTGGTTATATTCACCAGGTGTAGCATAGAATTTCCCTTATATACTGTACGACGAACATCTATTTCTCTAAAACAAAAATTTGTTCTTCAAAAAAACAGAAACGAGATGGGAATGTTGCTGTAAACCGTCTCATGGGGAAGGATTACACCGAGTCATCGTCAACGCGAACCCTCACAGTCGCCGCCACGAGCTTCTATTTCCCCTGCTCGTGCCGCCGTGCTACCGACGTCGCCGCCGCATCTCTCGCCGGAGAAAGTGGGGGAATAGAGAAAGATTGGGGGAAGAGAAGATTAGGCTCTCATGGCGTACGATTATCGGAGGAGAAATGACAAATGGAAAAATGTCGGAAAACAGCTGAAGTCACAAAATTGATTACGAGTGAAAAAAGTCAACTCGCCACGTCATCACATACAAAGGAATTCCATACGAAAAGGGGTCATTTTGTTACATTTTATAGTTCAGTGGTCTTTGGTACAGACCCTATAGTTCAGGAGTGCAAACTGTACTTTTCTCTTAATTTTATAAGTATACAAAATTCCTTTTTCTTAAAAAAAGTGATTATATTACCACAAGTGATTGGGGGTTTGCAAATGATTATTTAAAAGCAGAAGTTAGTGATTGTGAGTTAAGTCAGTTTTAAATGCTTATTTTTAAAAGTTTAGGATGTTTGCAAATATTCCGGAAAATGAACTTAAATTTTAAAAGTAGGGTTAGATGTGCTTTTAGAAAAATAGTTTAAAACAGATTATTTTAAATAAAACAAAAGCAAAAGTTAAATTTGCAAACACCTAAAAATAGATTATGAGCAAAAAAAAAAGCTCATAATCACTTTAAAAAAACTTTTGCAAACAACACCTCAATTTGAAAAGATGACAACTACATTTATCCGGGCTTTTGAGATCCTACACCGGGTGAAATACACCGGGTAGATCTTTATCATTCATATACACACAAACACACACACACCAACATTGGTGTGTGTAGATCAACGGTAAAAAACCACCCGGTGTAACCTTCACCGGGTGTAGGATAGATAAAACCCATTTATCCGTATACAAAAAGGAAAAACACAGTTACATACATAAATAAATTATCACTTTTACAATAAAGAACAAATGAAATGAGTATAAACAAATTAGCCACAAGGTAATGAATTACTATGAGTTTGACTTTGTTAACAATACAATTATTGATTATTCATAATCAGTCATTTTCACAGTATAATTGTATAAACACAGTTATCGCTCACGATACTCGTCAATAAATTAGTTATGTAAGAAAGTCAACTGTTCCAAAGATAACAACAAGAACAAAAAAAAGTAAGAAAATCAACTACCAAGTACGTACCAAGCAAATTTGCACCATTTGTTTTTTTAGTCTCCTTTTGACACCTTCTCTATCAATAATGGAGAAAACATTACAGAAATGCAGCAATAGATTGATGCCACAGCTGTAGAAACCCAAAAAAAGTATATACTATTCTGATTTCTGAAGCAACGAACACTTGAAAATGATATGTATACTATATAAAGGGTAAATTACGGATACCCCTCAGGAAAGACTAAATAACCTACAAACCCCTGTGGTATTGGTAATTACAAATACTCCTAAAACTAACAACCTATTAGAAACACTAACATAATAAATGAATTGACTAAATTACCCTTTTATTAAACAAATAAATTTGGATAAATTACGAGTACCCCTCAGATAGATAAAATATTACATTTACCCCCCCTGGGTATATTACATTGGGGTAGATCTGGAGATTCATATCGAATATTCCATGAAATCTTGAAGATTCCATTAATCGGTATAACTGTTAGACGGAACAATAGCTGAGGGTGGCATTTGTAATTACCGATACCACATGGGTGTGTAAGTTATTTAGTCATACCTCAGGGGTCCCCGTAATTTACCCTTATATAAATAAGGGTTAATAGCATTTCACCACCTGACTTTGCCCGTTTTTGCACTTTGCCACCTTAACTAAAAAAAATTGCAAGCGCACACTCAAACTCAGTTTTTTGACGCACATAACCACCTAAGGGGAATATTCCGGCGAATCTTCTCATTTTTCAACGCACGCGAGATGCACATGCGAAAGTACAGGGGCTTTTTCGTCTTTTTAACTGAAAATATCGTAAGGGGGTGAAATTGAAAGTACCAGGGACTCAATTGAACTTAATTTGAAACTTTTACAAATTCCAAATTAATTCAAGCTTTGTGGCTTCGTCTTCCATGGGATCAAAACACCCACCGCCTGACGCCTGTTTCAAAATGGAGCAAAAAAATCTCCAATAAAGAGATGAAGAAGAACAACGGCATCAATCTGCTGAAATTCGCCTTGGATGAGATAGACGAAGAACCCAACCCCGGAAGCAATTGAATCGGATTTCGGATTCTCGCCAAATAGCCTGTGGTACCGCATGTACCACCGTTCTTCCTCGTCGCCGAGGTACCTTTTCACGACCGGCGAACCGATTTCGACGCTTTCCCACGAATTTCCGTGGCCCAAATCGAAGATTAAACCCCTAGAGAGCGACGAATTTGAAGGAAGTGGTGGAATTGAAGTGGGCGTGGGCGTGGGCGTGGGCGTGGGCGTGCATACTTGAATTGGGAAGTGACCCACAGCTCCAGTATTTCTCATATGTTGTCTCTTTGTTGGCGCTTCTGCTCATCAATAACAAGGCATTTGAGGAATTCTCCAACGGCAGCCCCCCAACCCCCACCTCCCCCCACCCCCGGCTCCGCCGGAATTCTCCAACGGCAGCGCCCCTTTGTTCACCGGGCCCAGGCGGTGGCTGTTTTGTTCCCATGGAAGATGAAGCAACAAAGCTTTAATTAATTCGAATTTGTGAAAGTTTCAAATTAACTTCAATTGAGTCCTTGGTACTTTCAATTTCATCCCCTTATGATATTTTCAGGTAAAAAGACGGAAAAACCCTTGTACTTTCGCATGTGCATCGCGCGTGCGTTGAAAAATGAGAAGATTCACCGGAATATTCCCCTTAGGTGGTTATTTGCGTCAAAAAACTGAGTTTGGGTGTGTGTTTACAACTTTTATTAGTTAAGGTGACAAAGTACAAAAACGGCCAAAGTTCAGGTGGCGAAATGCTATTAACCCAACAATTAATATATTGAGTCAGAACTCAAATTCCTGTCCTGAATTCGTTGAAACGGAACATTTTCAAACTAATTGAATTAAATGCTGCCTCAATCAGAAATACCCAACCACCGCTAATTAACCAAGCAACCATCAATCAATCCACCAAAATCAAATTAGTAAAATGGCTAATAGCATTTCGCCACTTGGACTTTGCCCGTTTTTGTACTTTGCCACCTTAACTAAAAAAAGTTGCAGCGGCACACCTAAACTTACTTTTTTGACGCACATAACCACCTAAGGGGAATATTCCGGCGAATCTTCTCATTTTCCGGCGCACGCGCGATGCACATGGTTAATGGAAGGATTTTTTGGTCATTTCACCTTAAAAAAATTGTGGGCCCTCTTTTTACTCTTTCTTCTCATTCTCTCTCTGTTTTCTCTCTCTCTTTCTCACACACCCACACACATACATACATTCCCATCATCTTCTTCTTCTCTTCTTTCTTTGTGCTTTTCTCAAGAATCAATTTTTTCCCAAAAGACACTCCGCGTTTGAGCAATGCTGTGATGGAAACTGTGAAAGTATAAATCATAGGTCTGATTCCATTTTTGACCATTTCTTCAATCATGTACGAAACCCCATCTACCTTAACAAGCACAATTGATGTCCATTTTTCAGTATTTGTAAGTAAAAGAATAAATTTATAGATATAGAGAACTCATATTGTAGTAAATATCATAATTATACAGAAGATGGAGATTAAACATGTGGGAAGAACCATTAGGTACACAACATAAACCATATGGTACAAATTATTAGCCTAGTATCATCAAAGATGAAATTCCACTATTTTCCCTATTTCTATTTTTTTTTTGAATAAATTCAAGTCCATTACAAGGAAAGTAGGGGAGGGAGGGCCTCGAACCCTAGACTTTTACCCTATTAGTAAAGGCTAGGTACCAACTCTCCTAATGAGGGTTGGTATTTTCCCTATTTCCTTAAAAAAAAAAAAAAAATTGGATAAGAAAAAAAGCTTGTACCCGGGACAAAGTGACGGCGGTGCTGGCCAACTTGAGGCGACTTTTAAGGAAGGCCTGATACTCCTTAGAATCTACAGGAATATTCGGGGGGCCGGATGGGCCCACCGCCGCCGCAATCTGTCCCCGTGGATTATCATTGTTACGATCGGAGTTGGTTTCGATCTCAACAATGTCGTTGATGGGGAATTAATATTCTATCTCAACAATGTCGTTGATGAGCAATTAATATTAGGACAACAATGTCGTTAATGTCGTTGAATAATTATCACTATACCACACAGCTGCCTTCCCATACAAATGGGCATGAGAGAATAATTATCACTAGACCTTCATGTTTAGACTGCCAAATGGACTGTGTGTGTTCCAGCTCGTTTTAACTGCCACATAAACGTC